CTGTTGAGGATAAATTGCTCATCTACAATGCCTCGTCCGTATTTAATAAGACAGGACTCTATAACTTGGCCAAAGTTCTCCACGCTCTGCAATTATACATATATATTTTTATACAAATTTATATTTAACTGGAAAAATTCCAGCTTACGTTCAAATTATTATTTTCACCTTCGAGCAAAGCGCGGCACTTTCCGTCAATTTCGGATGTACCAAATTTCCAAAGGTAGGCGGCGATTTCAAGCCGATTGCTCTGGTAGCTCGCTTAGCGGCTTCCTCAACAATCAATCCTAAATTCGCGGTAGGATTCTGGAACGCCTTCTGTAGCTCCTTCAAGTGACTTCCGGCGTATTGGATACCGGTGAGAGACACAAACAAACGCAAAATGTCGTTTGTCCCCTCAAAGATTGGGAATATACGCAAATCGCGCATCACACGTTCTAGACCGGTTTCCGTCATGAAACCCATTCCTCCTAAGGTTTGAATAGCTTCATTGCACACCCACCACGCGGACTCGGACCCGAAACACTGAAAAAGAATTCGTAGCGTATAATGTACCAATAATAAATTCACGGTCTATTGAAACTAGAACCATTACGTTCACATTTCCATACAATAGCTTTTGTAATGTAAAATAAAAGTCAGTTGCATGAGAAGAGAATTGACTGGATACTAAAAAGAACTTAACCAGTTTATTATTAGAACTTAACTAGTTAGTTTTAATTAATTTCACGAATTTTATCTTGCTGTCGAATAAAAATACGAGATCTCTCGTAGAATACAGAATCCTTGCAACTCAGAAACATTAATATGCAGGTTACTCGATACATTTTCTTCATTAATATTTTTAGCATAAATATGAAATCTACATCTATTTATTAAAAGTGCATTAAAATTTTATATAAATCAAATTAATCGAGCGATAAAAGAATTACTTTCGAAATAGCCGCTTCCAGATGATAGTCTTGGCTTCCGCTGTCCATGTTACCAGAGATCATGTATGCGAGGGACTCGGTGACATAATGCAGCATAGACATGCGTCCCAATTTTTCTTGTATTGTGCCGTAATTGTCCAACGTGCGACCAAACTGCACGCGTTGCGTCGCATGATTCACAGCCTTGGTGATGCAGTAACGCATGGTGCCGGAAAGAGCCGCAGACATGCCGAATCTACCATTGTTCAGAATGTTCATTGCGACCTAAGATCGAATAAAGCGAATGTATAGTCGAGCAGCGTTCAAACTCGTGTAAATAATTCGCAAAGTTTCACGCGAGCTGCAGACAAGAATTTTATTAAATATAATACATAATATATTGTAACGTGAATTATGTATTAGACGTAAGTAGACTGTATTAAAGACATTTTCGACTTATATTAACAATACATTACGGTATTCATAAGGCGCAAAGATGAGAAGCAAGTTTACGTAAAATTGTACCTTAAAACCTTCACCCTCCTTGCCGAGAAGATTCTCCGCCGGGATCTTAACATCCTCGAAGAAGATCGCCGCCGTGTTGCTGCACTTGATGCCCATCTTCTTTTCGGGCGGTCCACTGGTGACACCACCGAATTCCCTCTCAACGATGAAAGCAGTCACCTTGTCCTTCGTCTCGCCCGTCTTCGGATCCTTGATAGGCATTTGAGCGAACACGGTCATGACGTCGGCAATGCCGCCGTTGGATATCCAGATCTTGCTGCCATTGAGAACGTAGTGCGACCCATCGTCGGATTTAATAGCGCGCGAGCGTATCGAGCCGGCGTCGGAACCGGAACTCGGTTCCGTCAGGCAGAAAGCGGCGTATTTGCCACTGGTAACTTGGGGCAGGTACTTGGCCTTCTGTTCCGGCGTGCCGTACAGAAGTATACCCTGTGGGCATACATTTTACCAATAACGCTCAGTAATGATATCAATATTAATTAGGAAAATTGACAAAATTGTATCAGAAAGCAAATTACAGCCGTGAACAGTTTTTACCTTGAACCCTATGCTCTGATGCGCGCCCAGAGTGATAGCGAGGCCCAAATCGTGATAGCCACAAATCTCGACGATTCGAGCGTACTGAGTATTCGTCAATCCCAACCCGCCAAATTCGGTGGGCACTTGCAAACCGAATCCTCCCAAATCCCAGAGAGCGGCTGCTATTTTCTCATCCACGTACGCGTTCTGATCGTTCTTAGCCGCATCGTTTACCTCCTGCAAGGCAGAAAGAGAAAACGTTTGACAAAATTAGCTGGCCCTCGCACCTCGATTATTGTGCTCCTTAAGAGAACGCTTACCTCGTAGAACTTTTCTACGGGATCAACGAGCATTTTTAACGTGTCAGTTTGCTCCTGGGTCATAGGCTCCGGGAAGGGACACACTTGGCTCAGCTGCAACTGGCCACGGAAGATATTCATGGTGAAAGATTGAGATTCCTTGGCGGCGACATTTTCTCGGTTCGGCGTTTCCTCCTTGACTTTCACTGCCGCTTGAGTAGCCAGACATCTGTCAAACGTTTATTATCATCAAATAATGTCCATAATTAACAAATCAATTATTTGACAGCTAACAGTGGTTTCAAGGGACAGTTAAATTACATAAATTATTGGAGTATCTTGTCTATCGAGTCATCTCATAAAAAATAATAAATAAATACAATCTTATCTGCGTCATTTTCCAATTGTAAAATCTCTTCCTCTTTTGTAAAATAATATTTATTCTTTGATTTCATACATATGTCAATTTTCCTACTTTTTGTTTATCTGAAATTTAGTATTCCTCTCATTATGTAAAGGAATATTCCTTAGAATGTACAATACGCTTGATCTCTTCCAATTTTAGATGTTTAGAACCTATGAACTTGAGACCCGACGTCAATAACACATGAGTAAACAATATACATAACACTTCCGGGTTCCCAGCGTCATAGTTTACGTGACGTATGCATATACTTGACAAGACTCTCCGTGCCCACGGGGCACAGTCCAAAGTCCACGTATGTCAGACGCACACGCTTGTAACTAAAAATATCGGACACGGAATTGCAGATCGAGATATAGACAAGATTGATTTAACGCAGATCAATTGCGACAAGCTAAATACGACGCATTAACACACGAATTTCGTAAATTGCGACTCGATTTATCAACAATCGGATTATTTGTTCCACGATGTTGCGCGTATAACAAAATTGCGCTCCAACCATACGCGATCCGAATTTCGAGAATTTGGAAGGCAATTATATTCAAGGTTGAATCTGATTTTCCACTAATTCGAAATTCGCTCCAATTTGCAGAAGGTCGTGCACTCGGAGCAAATGAAGAAGACGATGATCGACACTTTACCTGGACGTGACGCGGGATCCTAAGGGCGTCTCGACGGCCTTATTGAGATTTCTGGAAGACGACGAGAGGATTTTTGCGACACGAAGCATCGTGGAAGCGTTCGTACTTATTATCGAACGAAAATCCGCACTGATTGAAATTAAAATGGAAAGATAATCACGGCTGACACGGTTACTCTCTGCGAAATAATGGCCCAACAATCGTGGACAGTAGTGAGTAGTGACGACTGACGCCGCCGTCTGTCGTCGTGGAACTGAATCCAAAAGTCTATTCGACAAACGACAACAGTGCAGCAAGAAAACATTGCTTTTAATTCACATTTGACGCACTATGACGCGGAAGATGAACTAGGCTTAAGAATTTGTAATTTATATGTATGGATTGTATTTAATTTGTAATAAAATTTAAATAAATAATACTAGAAACATGAAACAATGAATTTTTATAATTTATTATTACCTTTCCCTACAATCCTACATCCTTGCGTTCTTATTAGCGAAAAATACAACAAAAGTTATAATTATCTAAAATTCCAAGAATTTTCTGTATTTCCAAGATTTGTCAATTTTTTTAAATTTTATCAATATAGAATTTGCCAACTTTTAAGAGTTCATCAACATAATTTTGTAAATTATAAAAATTTTGCCAATTTTTAAGAATTTTATCAACAAAGAATTTTTTAATTCTTGAGTTTATCAACATAAAGAATCTTTCAATTCTAAAATTTATTAACATTTTAATTCTTGAATTTATCAACATTTCAATTCTGGAATTTATCAACATTTCAATTTTTGAGTTATCAACATAAAGAATTTTCAATTTCTAATTTATCAACATAAAAAATTTCTTGATTTATCAACATAAAGAATTTTCAATTTTTGATTTAGCAACATAAAAAATTTCTTGATTTATCAACATAAAGAATTTTCAATTTTGATTTATCAACATAAAAAATTTTCAATTTTGATTTATTAACATAAAAAATTCGATATAGTATCAGAAAACTTAATTGGTGAAGAAGTGGCATTATCTAGAAAATTACTAGTTTGTATAACTTTCAAAAGTGTTTAGAAAATTAATTGAAATTGGAAGATTTTTTGGAAAAAAGAGGAAGAAGAAAAGGGTGGAATAAGTAATACTTCATAACTTTTATAACAATTCTAATTTTATTTTTTGTATTTTATATTCACTAAAAGTAACATATTGTAATTAAAGTTAAGCATATATAATTATGGTCGAGATAAATTAACTGTTACAAGTTGTTACAAGGTTTCCTAGAATTTTCGTAGTTGTGGAGTATCATGTAAGAAGGCAGGTGTAGCAAGTCCAAGGTATTTTCGTTGACCAATCAGAAACTGGTCTAAGTGGGATCATGGAGTATACCACTCTTGAGTCTGTCGAGAGTGTCGAGCATATTTATGGACGAACATTTGGGCTGGATTCGGGGAGCGCGCTATTAGCGCTATTTGCTTATTCTATCCTTGTTTTACACCTGATGAGCGATAAAGACAGAATGATGCAATAGCGCTAATAGCGCGCTCTTCGAATGCAGCCTTGGGCGCGTTCAGCAGAACAAACCGCTCAGTAGCAATCGAACGTGATTGGCTCTTACTTTTAGACCCAACAAATCAACGTAGCGTGTTGATAAGACGACACTCAACAGTTGTGTCTGCTGAACGCGGCCATATTGATCAGCTGTGGTCGCTGTGGTGATCCGAGACGTCAGCAGACGTCAGAATCAAAGATGGTCAGACCCAGAGATATCAGATGATATGGAGTTGGCGATTGAAAACACAAGTGATGATGAGATCCTGATGTAAGGAGTGCCAAGTGATCTCAGGCAATGTTGAGACGATTATCCTCCGTACCTCCGAACGACGCAAGTGTCCCAAAGCTATGGGTTGAATGCCGAAAAGTAAATATACATAAATATATGGAGATACGTGGACACGTGTGATAAGATTAGGTTATATAATGTAATCGCAATTTATGTACACTGTGTTTCGCACTAGACGCGAAACGCTTTCTTTCGATCATTAATCGGACTAAGAAACGAAAATAGCTACTTAAATGTAAATTTATGTATTTACATTAAAATTACATAAATATACACTATTGTAATAATACATAAATAAATTATACAAAATAAATTAAAATAATCGACAAAATTACATACATGATGTAATTTATATACAATATATCCTTATTGTATGATATAAACTTAACCAGGATGAATATTAATTTATTTTATTTGATACAATAAAGTTATAAATACATAAATAAGCATAAACATGAAAAGTGGAAACCAGTGTTTAAACCAGTGTTGTTTAAACATGGATGTTCACCGTATTGTTTTTATTCTTTCAGATAGAGAACGCCTAACTCAATATGCAACATCCACAAGTATCATTGGACGGAGATAAAGTACATTTAGAACTAGAACAATTGAATATTTTTCTTCTCGGATCTATCTATTGCTCCTAGAAATTATACTAATATGAGTAACATTACGTCAGAAAAGGTTCCATTGCAATCAGTCTTAAAACTCAACGATAATGATGTTAAGGAATTCATCTGCGGCTGGGGCGCTGCGGTCATCAATGTCACCGTCACTTTTCCAATTAATAAAATTATATTCAGACAGGTATATTCACGCAGTATAAATAAAATTAATGAATATCGCCTCGATACTCAAATTCAGTTGAAACATTATCTGGGTTGCGTTCCACAGATTTTGGAAGGAGTACCTGTGGGTGCTGCGGTCGGGCAAATGTCGCGGGAGGGAGTACGCTTGCTGTATCGTGGAATTTTGCCGCCACTCTGCCAGAAGACTCTGTCTCTCAGTCTGATGTTCAGCATGTACGAAGGCTGCAAGCATAGGCTCTGTCTGTTAACCGAGAACGTCGTGCTGGCCAAAATCCTGGCGGCGAATATAGCCGGGACGATGGAAGCTCTCCTCATGCCGCTCGAGAGAGTGCAGACGCTGCTGCAGGATTGGCGGTATCACGACAAATTCAAGAACACGCCCCACGCGTTCAGGTATCTGCTGACAAATCACGGAGTGACCGAGTGCTATCGCGGTATGGTTCCTATCATATACAGAAACGGCTTGTCCAATCTGATGTTCTTCACGCTGCGGGATCAATCGAAGTTGTTGCTGGGCGAACAGGAGTCGTTGTTCACGAACTTTGTCAGCGGCGCCCTGATCGGTGGCTTCACCAGCACGGTATTCTATCCGATGAACGTAATCAAGATACACATGCAGACCAAGATAGGCGGCGACTTTGAGAAATTCCTCGCTGTGACTCGCGAAGTGTACGTCGCCAGGAATCGAAGCTTGACTTCCTTTTACCAGGGCGTGCACTTGAACTACATGAGGTCCTTCATCAGTTGGGGTGTGATTAGCGCGTCGTATGATTTCTTGAAGAATATTATTTTCTAGATCGTTTAACAGGGCGAGAAATGTATCTTTATTTTGATTTATTTATGGATCATATACATTTCACGCCCTGCTGTACACGTTAGGTGTTTAAGGCGACAATAGGGAATTGTACTTTTTTTTTTAAAGATATATGAATGTTGCGGTCGCACATTCTTCCTGCTATGTAGGAATGCACACGGGAAGAAAAGTCTATTATATTATATATATGAAACTCTTTGTGTAATGTTTTAATAAGTATTTTGAGATAATATCAACTGACTGATACAAAAAAGGAACAACTTGTTTTTGTTTTAAATGAACAAGAGTAATCAAGAATAAGTTTCAAAGAATACAATCGTTTATTCTTTGTTCATGAAGAAATTGTATAATTTATAGATATAAATAAGTGTAATTAATATTTTTATGAAAATTCTTGATATCCTGATAGTCTGCCTTTATGAATCTAAACTTTTACGCGTGTAAACATATAAACGCTTCGACAATATATAATTAATGAGTCAGAGAAAAGTATTAAACGAATAAATTTAATACTTGTGATAGACAATTTGTTTTTAGTCGTGCTATCATGGTTTTAGTTATCTATTATTCCATAAATTGTATATAATCAAATTGTGCTGAAATATACCCTTTTAAAGTTTTTTAAGTTATAAAATGTTTAAAAGCATGTTTTGGGATTTGGCAGCGCGATTTATAACAATATATGTGATATAATATCGTGTCACAAAATATTTGAGTCATTAAAAGACTTGAAAAAATATTTAATATTACTATAATATAGACTATTTATACATATGTGATATTACATAATGTAAAAATATGTCGGGGATTTCTCTCCTATAAAATAATACGAAGAAGAGAAGTAGGGAAAAATATATATGTACATATATAGTTCATTATTTAAATACAATACTATTTTTTTACACGGCATTAGTTTTGTATCATATGTATAGCGACGATGTTTTTATTTCGAAATACGTGTGGAAATTTGAGATGTACGATTCAATCGACGAGACGTCGTACGATACGTGTTATTAATTGTGTCATTTAGGGTGCGATCCACTTGGCGCTCCAGACTGCTCCAGACGCTCTTGGAAACATTTCATCCTTGTTGTTTATCAAATGTTAAACAAGGACAAAATGATGCTCTGAAGCGTTTGAAGCGTCTAATAGATCGCATGCTTAATAAATCTATTTACACGAACTAGTAGAAGATACGTCGAGTGACATTTATCTGTTGGATGTTCACGCTGTGTACAAAACGTATATGTGCAAATTAATGCTGAAGACAATATGATTTTGGTATCGGTTACGTTTTTATTGTATTGTATGTACAAGATGTCCTGTAAGTCCAGTGAGGGGCGTTATCGATTGGACACATTTTGGGAGAATCTTTTTGACTGAATAAAACTGTGCATTGAAAATAATGGTGGACACTTGAGCAGATTGTGCCAAGCAAAGGATCTTTTGTTTTGCCCTCTTTAATTTTTATCCTTATGACACGCTGGACTTGTGAGACACTGCGGTTCATCGATATCCATGTATCTTTAAAATTCCCGCCATACGACATGCTGCTGGGGTTTTAATCAGGGCCAGCTCGATAAGGAGGCCCTTCGGAAAGCATTTACAATTAGAATTAGAGGGCCAATTTTATATTCAAGATTTACGTTAAAAATCAGTGCAATCTTGAG